CACATTAATTCAATTGCCAATGTTATTATTCTGGTAATTAATTGCATGTTTGAATCTCATATGCTGGAATTAATTGTTCTAGTGCTCAGAGGCTCCGAAGATGAATCATAAATGAATGTACAATCTGCAAGGCAAAGGATAGGACTGTATGATCCTTAACAGCTCCTGGAACTATCATTTCTGAACAATATATTTCACAACAAGCTGTCTTTTCAGAAACAGATTTGTTTGAGAGAGAGAAAAGCCACAAAGTCATGAAGGCCTTCTACAGGCATTTTTTTCCCCATACAGAAAAAAGGATCTTCGGCTATGTGATAATATACATAGTTTGCTGAATTGTTTCTTTTGCATTCTTAAACCTATAGACCTGTTACAGCAGCCTTTGTCTTTCCTTCCCTCTTCCTGCAGGAAAGAGCTTATCTGCAGAAAAACCGATGCCCAAGCCTAGAGATGGGCTTAAGCTGCAGCTGTGCAGGTTGCAACTTGCTCTTCTACAAGCCTCAGCCAAGTCTGGGAAGAGTGGGAGAGTCACTCAGCTCTTTTCCCTATCCCGAGGGAAGCGCCAGTCATCGGTTATTAATAGATAACTTGCATTGGCCTCTGTGTCTTTTGCACCTGTCAGATCTGTGCAAAGCTTTATGATGTAAAGACAAAAGTTGTACATTTAAATGAACTGAAGAAGATACTGAAAGAAGCAGCAAGGATGTTCAGTGCAAGGAGCATTTTCCATATGAAAATAGGCACAAACAATTAGACTTTGCAGCTTAAAATGAGAGGGAGGAGAGGGAGTATAAGCAAGAAATGTACGAAGTCATAAATGGGTAGCAATCGTGTTTGAACTTAGAACATGATCATTTCAAGTAATCCAGTGATTCTGACGGTTGGTATGAACAGAAAGGAGACAGTTTTTCATCTAATGAACAATTAATTTACGGAATTCATTTCCGCAGGATGTTTCTGACGGAAATGAGCATAAGTGGCTGCTAAAGGCTTAATTAAATTTGTGGAGATAATGACTATTAGCCATGATAGCTTAGGGTTATATTTGCATGTACATTAAAATTATCTCCTTTAAATACATGTTTGAAGTAAATCTCTCTGTGTCGTTCCCCCCATCTGCAAAAAAAGGAAGAAGTCGTCTCAGGATAGTCTCGGAACACAGTCTGGAAGGCAGTTTCTTGATGAGCAATGGGTGATGGCAAAAGACCCAATAGACAAAGTGTGTATCACCATCTGGATGTCTAGAAAGAGAGAAAACACAAAGCCATATTCAAACATAACACTAAGCCAAACCATGGCTCAGCTTTTGGCAGGAGGGACCAAAGGGAAAAGCAAAGTGGCCATTATTTTTTATATTGGCACCCACATGAACTGGGTCTACTTATGTGATTAGCTGCACGCAGCTTACTTTAGTGCGGGGTCAAGGTTTTAGGGCAATTCCTTTAAATTTATTTAGAGCTTTTGTACTGAAGTTCTAAACAGATGTAAGCAACTAAAAGACACTGCATATTTGTATATTTGTTTTTGATGTTTCGAATGTTTGCTGTAAGCTGCTTTGGCCACAGCTCATTGTGCAAAAGCGGCATATAAGACAATCCATCAATCAGTGCTCAGCACAATAGCTCACTGAAACACAAAGTAGTCAGATATAAGAAGGGATCAAGGCCTCTATAAAGTATAAGCTGCACCTTTAGGCAGTCCAGCTTTCTTCCTTTCAGCAATGTAATGAATGGTCTGTCATGTCATGGTTGTCACTGGTCAATGTCGATGTCAATGCCAAAATCCAGCATTGCCTGAGCTCTGTGAGTGCAGCTTTCTTCTGATTGAAGTGCAGAGTGTTTGAGGACTCTGACATTTGCGGGGAAACCAGAATGCTTGTTTACAAAGCTATTGTACTACCAACCCTACTGTATGCTTGTGAAACATGGACCACTTATAAACACCATCTCCAACTCCTCCATCACCGTCTCCGAAAATTTTTACACATCACTTGGGAAGACAAGCGAACTAATGCCAGTGTACTGGAAGAAGCAAAGATCACCAGTGTCGAAGCAATGATTCTTCAACATCAACTTTGTTGGACTGGTCATGTTGTGCGGATGCCTGATGATCGTCTTCCAAAGCAACTATTCTATTCCAAACTGAAAAATGGAAAGCGTCAACAAAAGAGGTTTAAAGACTCTCTCAAGGCAAATCTTTAAAAATGTAGTATAAACACCGACAACTGGGAAACACTGGTCTGCGAGCACTCCAGTTGGAGAACAGCCTTTACCAAAGGTGTCGTGGGCATTAAAGATGCTTGAACTCAGGACAAAAGGGAGAAATGTGCTAAGAGGAAGGCATGTTTGGAAAACCCTCACCATGATCAACTTCCTCCCGGAAACCTATGTCCCCACTGCGGAAGGATGCATGGATCCAGAATTGGCCTCCACAGTCACTTATGGACTCACTGTTAAGACCGTGTTCATGGACAATCATACTCGGCTACGAGTGATTGCCAAAGGAGAAGAAGAAGCCACTGGTAAACAATTGGGTATCAGAAATCTTTGCTGATCTTTTTCCAGGTGTGTCAATGTGACTAAAATATGGGGGGAGGCAGGGAAGCCTTGCCCAGCATAAGTGATCACATGATGTGACACACACACACACACCCCCCCATTTGAATGACAATGCCCATCAACTTTGGGCACCCAGCCCCGTCAAATATTTTATCGGGGGGCCAAAAGGACCTTAGCCCCTAGGAGTTGACTCTTATACCCCAGAAACCTACACCATCTTTAAAGACATCAATGCTCCACTAATTGTTATTTTTTTACAGAAACATGGAGTTTTGTGTGTGTGTGGAGAGGAACTAGTGCCTGAAACTTCCAGTGAGGCCAGATGTGGCAGATTAAAACAACATCCTCTCAAATGTTCTGCCCTGTAGCAAATATAGTAGTCATACTTCTTGTTATGTTTGCTTCAGGTTAAATCTTTTCAAGTTGCATCCCGCAGTGACCCGGAAGTACCAGAAAGGGTTTTGCCGCTCGCGCAGACACTCAAAATGATGTCATGTGCATGCGCAGAAGCAGCGAATCACGACCCGCGCATGCACAGATGCAGGTTGCGTTCTGCTCATGTTGCGAACGGGGCTCCGGAACGGATCCCGTTCGCAACCAGAGGTACCACTGTATTCGTTAATGGAGGAGTGAAAGAGTCCAGGGGGTTGTACAACTGCGGTGTCAAGATGACGGGGGCATCCCTGAGGTGAACGAGGGTTGGTGTGCGAAAGAGAAGCGCACAAAAGATGGGCAATATAGAAAGGTGTGAGCTGTAACATAAACAGTCAAATACAACATTTCCTGTTTGCCTAGAGTGGACATGCAGGGGAATGTTGGTCCAGCCAGTTGAACTTCCTGTTGCACGTGGTCTGGAGCATCCTTCCTCTGTGTGTGACCAGGTAGGTGGGCATGAGCCCTCCAGACCCCACAAAAGGTCCAGTCATACAGCCACCTTCCTCTTTTAATGCCTTTTCTTCTCAGCCAGCAGCATGTGGGATGAGTTCCCATATGGGATGAACTCAAACCCTCTTCTGTAACTCTAAGCTAAAGCCTGCCTTCAGGGATCCAAATGTGAACTGAAAGCGAATAAACTACTTATTACTTTTAAAGGAAGTGTCTTTATTCTTTGAGGAGGGAATCAAAGGGGTCTTACCAGGAATCATAGAATTTAAGAGATTCTAACGAAACTGCAACTAGCTTCCTGCTATTTAAAAGGGGGGGGATGTGCTCTGCTCTATGAAGTGTGACGCGGCAGCTAAAAAAGCCAATGCAATTCTGGGCTGCATCAATAGGAGTATAGCATCTAGATCAAGGGAAGTAATAGTGCCACTGTATTCTGTTCTGGTCAGACCTCACCTGGAGTACTGTGTCCAGTTCTGGGCACCACAGTTCAAGAAGGACACTGACGATGCCTTATGAGGAACGGCTAAGGGAGCTGGGCATGTTTAGCCTGGAGAAGAGGAGGTTAAGGGGTGATATGATAGCCATGTTCAAATATATAAAAGGATGTCACATAGAGGAGGGAGAAAGGTTGTTTTCTGCTGCTCCAGAGAAGCGGACACGGAGCAATGGATCCAAACTACAAGAAAGAAGATTCCACCTAAACATTAGGAAGAACTTCCTGACAGTAAGAGCTGTTCGACAGTGGAATTTGCTGCCAAGGAGTGTGGTGGAGTCTCCTTCTTTGGAGGTCTTTAAGCAGAGGCTTGACAACCATATGTCAGGAGTGCTCTGATGGTGTTTCCTCCTTGGCAGGGGGTTGGACTCGATGGCCCTTGTGGTCTCTTCCAGCTCTATGATTCTATGAATAAACTCACTAGTTGGAAGAGTGGCAGATGAAGATGATTGAATTTGCAGAACTGGCGAAGCTGACAGGAAAAATCTGAAACCAGCATGCTCAAGTATTCCAAAAGGACTGGAGTAAATTTATACCATACCTGAAATTAACATCACTAGCAGCGTTGTCTGAAGACCTGTAATGAGAAATTTTCTATCTTTCTATATTTATTTAAATTTTGAGCTATTTTCTAATCAGTGTAATTAGAACTGGAAAACCTACAAAATGCAATGATACAAAGGTTAATTTTGAAAGCCATGAGGCAGGAGGGAAGGAAGTGGATAGGTAAAGTGCCAAAGCGGTAAAGTGGATAATGGTGATGTGAGTGTATAATATTAAATGGAAAAACAGTAGGGCGAAATTATCCTTTTTTTGTGGGGAGGGGGGGAGCGACAAGCGAGGGACTTCGCTTCACGTGGGAGGAGGGGGGCGCGCGCGCAGGGAGATCCTTCGGAGTGACGAAAGACAGGGGAATCCTCGCCGGCGGAGGGAGCGAAGGGGAATCCTGGGGCGAGGGAGGAGGGACTGACGGGGAGAGAACGGATCGCGCGGGCTCTCGGGCCGCCGCCGCCCCCTCCGAAGATCCCTCGCTCCACTCGCGCCTGGCGCAACGAGGCTGAGGCGGCTCCGGGCGCAGCGCGCGCGCCAGAGAGAAGCGGCTCGAAGTGGCTCCCCGCCAGCCGCTCGTCTCCTCCCCGCTTTCCCGCCCTCTCCGCCGGGCCGGGGGGAAAGCGTGCTCTCTCCGCGTTTCCCTCATGGCCACGAGCCGCGCCATGCAGCCTCCCCGGGCGCTCCTCTAAGCCATGCCGCCGCTGGCGCTGCTCCTCCCGGCGCTGCTGGCCGCCTTGGCGCCTCCGTGCCGAGGCTGGTCCGCTCCGGAGCCCGAGCTGGCGCTGCCGCCCCTCAACGCCTCTTCGGCGCCCTTGGCGGGCTCCTCGGGAGGGCGGGAAGCGGCCGCTCAGGAGGGGGAAGCGCGCCCCACGGCCACGGCCGCCCCTTCGCCCCACCGCCGCCCTCCGGCGCCTCAGCCGCAGCAGCAGCCGCCGCCGCCTCGCGAGGACCCTCCGTGCAACATCAGCGTGCAGCGCCAGATGCTGAGCTCGCTGCTGGTGCGCTGGAGCCCGCTGGGCTTCCAGTGCGACCTGGTGCTCTTCTCCACCAGCGGCCCCGGCGGGCGCGCCTTCTTCTCGGCCGCCTTCCACCGCGTGGGGCCGCCGCCGCTGCTCATCGAGCACGTCGGGCTGGCGGCCGGCGGCGTCCAGCAGGATCTGCGCCTGTGCGTGGGCTGCAGCTGGGCCCGGGGCAGGCGCGTGGGTCGCCTCCGCTCGGGGGTCGCCAACCCGGCGCCCGCCGCAGCCGCCGCCTCCTCCTCCTCCGCGCTCTCTTCCTCCTCCCTGCCCTCTCCGGAGCAGCAAGGCGACCGGCTGCATTTCTGCTGCCTCGATTTCAGCCTGGAAGAGCTGAAGGGGGATCCCGGCTGGAGGATGAACCGAAAGCCCATCGAGTCCACCTTGGTGGCTTGCTTCATGACGCTCGTCATCATCGTGTGGAGCGTGGCCGCCCTCATCTGGCCGGTGCCCATCATCGCCGGCTTCCTGCCCAACGGCATGGAGCAGAGGAGGAGCGCCGCCGCAGCCGCCGCCGCCTCGGGAAGCACATCTGGAGCAGCTGCAGCCGCCGCCAAATGACCCCCATCCAGTACCGGATGAAACCCCGAAGAGGCCCATCGGGGATCGAAATCTTGCCGCCCTCCCAGTGGGATAACACTCAACTCAGAAAGCTGGATTTGACATTTTCCTTCCAAGATCAAATCAATCTCGGGGCCCCTAAAAGGCGTGGGGGCCTGGTCTGCCTATTTCTTAATCCAGCACTGCCTCACCCCTGTCTCCCTTTTGCTTCCTCCTCCTCCTCCTCCTCCTCCTCCTCCTCCTCGCTTCCTGATCTAATCCAGGTCGTATCCATTGTCATGGATGCCGCCCGTCCCCTCTAGTGGGATAACATTGAACTCAGAAAGCTTGATTTGTCATTTTCCTTCGAGATCAAATCAATTTTGTTTTGATCTCAGGCCGGTGCCTAACTCTGGCTATTTGGTAATCTGGCACCACTGCCCCATCCCTGCCTCCTTTTCGGTTCTTCCTCGCTTCCTGATCTAATTCGGGTCAGATCCATTGCCGTGGATGGGCCTCTGATTTGGGCACTGACCTTGCTATGCTTTTTGGGGGTAGTGTTGAAAAGGAGTATTTTTGTAGATCACTGCAAAGCCATCTTCTTGGCGTGGAGTGCTGAAGAGAGTGGACTTGGGTGGAAATCTTGTAGCTGGGATCTTTGGGGGACCACCCCCCTCCCCTGCTCGCTTAAGGGGGTTTATAGATCTATTTCTGGTGTGCTCAAAGTCATATCTTTTTTTTTAGAAAAATGACCAAAACCTGTGTATTGGCTTTATATATTTAAAACTCTTTTAAGTCAGTATTTTAGTAAAGACCACACACACACACAAACCCAGTGCACTTTGCAAGTAGCTGTGAGTCAGAGTACTTATTTGTATATGAATACACTTTTGTCTCTGCAAAATTTTATTTACCAAATGAGGGAACTTTTTGGGGGCAGGGTTGAAACTTGCTAATACAATATATATTGTTCCTGGAGAACCGGGAGTTGAAACACTCTTTTACAATGTGTGTGTTTCTTATTAGAGAATGTGTGGTTACTGTTGTAATTCTGTTGGGTTCTGAATACAGATATTTTCTTTGTCGAAGCGTTTTAAGACTTTGGTCTGCTTTTCTCAGAGTGGTTGACTTCACAAATCTCAGCAAGGAAATCAGATCTAGGGGTACGAACAAAGGCTTAAGACATGTTTTCACACCCACCCAATATAATTAAACCCTCAGTTCTTCTGTAATGACAAGTCACAACATTTGAACTCGCTTTAACTTCTGATTTATTTACAAGTTCATGGAGTGGCTCAAAGGATTAAACAAACCCTTATTTCTGGCAGGGACTCGCCTATATTTTATGCTAGTATCAGTAATAATGCAGTGCAAAAAATAGCAGGGCAAATTAAATAGTGATACACATTGACCTGTGATTGACCTCAAGACACAGCCTAATACCAGATTTAATTTCAAAGTGAGTTTTGCTGCATTCTGTGAAAACTCATTGGCAGTTAACATCTTTGCTCCACCAAACACCAACAGGGCCGGATCCTAACCCTCTTCAACAGCCAGGCGATTCAGCTGAGAAGGGCATTTGCTGGAGAAAAAGAGGGCTTACAAACTTGCTTTCCATTCATGCTTGTATCACCATCTATTTTAATTGTTATTTGAATATATACTGTGAGCCACCTCGAGAACTTTTTTTTTTTAAGAAATAGAATGTAACTTTTTAAAACAGTGTTTAGTTTAAGAGAACAGTCCTTCACATACTATCCTGTCCTTGGTTTGCCCTGGTACTTTGATAGTGCCATATGCTAATAAGGGATTGCAAGATCTATCCTAGAGTACCTTCTAATAGCACAGCTACATAAACTGGGAATAGAAACTCCTGGTAGAGAACTGAAGTGTTTTCCCACCCCAGAAAATATATTTGCAAGTAGCAGTGAAGGATGGATTCTAACCCCACTCCTACAAACATGCTTTTTTTGAATTCAGAAACAGTCAAAATTATATGGGTGCGCCTCCATATGCATTACAGCGATAATCTGATTTCTATCTGAACTGATATATGTACAACAAAGATGTACAGATACATCAAGCTTCAACAGTTTTGTGTGACTTGACTACATATTGACGACAGCTGGACTGGGATGTTTCTTGTTGTTTAGTCGTGTCTGACTCTTCGTGACCCCATGGACCAGAGCACGCCAGGCAGTCCTGTCTTCCACTGCCTCCCGTAGTTTGGTCAAACTCATGCTGGTAGCTTCGAGAACACTGTCCAACCATCTCATCCTCTGTCGTCTCCTTCTCTTGTGCCCTCATTCTTTCCCAACATCAGGGTCTTTTCCATGGAGTCTTCTCTTCTCATGAGATGGCCAAAGTATTGGCGCCTCAGCTTCAGGCTCTGTCCTTCCAGTGAGCACTCAGGGCTGATTTCCTTCAGAATGGATAGGTTTGATCTTCTTGCCGTCCATGGGACTCTCAAGAGTCTCCTCCAGCACCATAATTCAAAAGCATCAATTCTTCAGCGATCATCCTTCTTTGTGGTCCAGCTCTCACTTCCATACATCACTCCTGGGAAAACCATAGCTTTAACTATAGGTAAAGGTAAAGGTACCCCTTCCCGTACGGGCCAGCCGTGTCCGACTCTGGAGTTGTGCGCCCATCTCACTTAAGAGGCCGGGGGCCAGCGCTGTCCGAAGACACTTCCGGGTCACGTGGCCAGCATGACAAGCTGCATCTGGCGAGCCAGCGCAGCACACACGGAAACACCGTTTACCTTCCTGCTAGTAAGCGGTCCCTATTTATCTACTTGCACCCGGGAGTGCTTTCGAACTGCTAGGTTGGCAGGCACTGGGACCGAGCAACGGGAGCGCACCCTGCCGCGGGGATTCGAACCGCCGACCATACGATCGGCAAGTCCTAGGCGCTGAGGTTTTACCCACTGCACCACCCGCGTCCCTAGCTTTAACTATACAGATAACTTAATCTTCAGACTTGGCAGATCCATTAGTCTATTGATAGTAAGGGAGGCATGTGTTCCTGATTAACCAGATTATAATCTGTCAAGTGTTAGAGCTATTTGCATCCTTCTACCAGAACGTAAGAAAAGCAAGCAATTTGCCTTTTTCACCTTCTATAATTGAGTTGATTGATCAGCATCCAAAAATTAAAATGGTAGGGTCCCAGGAAATGGCATTTGCTTCAGACTAAATAGACAGATCTCCTCCTGGAAGCTTCTAAATTCTGAATGCAAATTATAAACCTGTGTTGTTTTAGGGTGCGGTCCAATGAAGTAAAAATGTTGCAGTGAAACTGGACTGTGCTTTTTGAATTTCAAAGGAACAGCACTGTTTGTCACCTACGATTATCTTCCACCTTTCATGGGTAAAACTAACAGCCTGATTTGTTGCATGTTGGAACTTCCATTTAATTTGGTGAACTGCCCACATAAATGTGCTAAGGCTGGAGTGCTAATTACGCTTTGAAATAAAAAACAACCAAATGCCACAATACTTCTGAGTACGTATAAATCCATAGTGTCAGGTTGTATGTAAGTTAGCAATGTTTTGTAGAAGTTAAGAACACAATGTTAGGCTCAAACCCATGACCCCACTCTACCAACTGAGCTATCCCAGGAAGAGCCAGATCAGTTTGCCTCATCCTGGAAAACCTTGCAAAAAGTGACATTGTAATCTGGATTTAGAACACTGAAGATTGGCTCAAAACCCACTTGAGTTGATAAAAGTTCCTAAAGCATGATTGTGCAGATCAAGCTTTATGCCTGTATGAAAATCACTTTCCTTAAATGGCCCTTCGTTAAAATGCCATCTTAATTAGGTACTTGCTGAACCATGACCTCCAAATCCATTGTCTTTAACTTCTCTGTGAAGTTAAATTATATTTTGCTCAGTATAAAACAGAATTCCCTGGGAAAACCGGTATGTCAGCTTACTAAGGGATGACTTGGTGTTGCTAAGCGATATGAAGTTAGAGAGATACAAAATGAGAATGCTAAAGACGATAATAAGCAACGGAAAACAGAAGAACTGTCATTCTTTGTCTTTTTCGAAAGAAAGCAGGCTGGAGGGAAAAGGGCATAAACAGCAAAAAGAAGTGAGAAGTGGGCAGAAAAGATTTGGCGATAAATGTCCTTTCCGTCGTCTAACAACAAAACAATACCCTCATCGCCATGGGAGGAGAACTCAGTGAACCAGGCTGATTAGTACTGAAGCTGCTTTAGACTTCATCCTTTCCATTTTGTATTTTTTATTTATTTTTACTGAAGTGTGGCAAATTGCGCTGTTTCAAGAAGAGCACTTTACAATATCACAAATGGTTGTGTGGGCAAAAATATATGGAAATCTCTTGTGATTTTAGGGTTCATTTGCAACTGTTTTCTCAGAATAAAGCCTGCCATCTCTCTACTTCCATTCCTTTATTCAGTTCCCACAGTACAGAAGCAGAGGATCACCTCTTTTCTACTGAGTGCAGTAAGTCTAAGCAGGTGTAACGAAGTACAGAATCAAGCACAACCCATGAGAAGCAGCCAAGAGTGGGGATGAACACAGCAGTGTGGTGTAGTGGTCAGGGAGCTGAAATAGGTCCTGGGAGTCCTGGGTTCAGATCTCAGCCATGAAGCTGACTGAGTGGCCTTGGGTCAGTCAGTCTTGTCTACCTGGTAAGGCTGTTTTGAGGGCCTCCAACTGTTTTTGGACTACAATTCCCATCACCCTTAACCACTGGTCCTGCTAGCTAGGGATGGTGGGAGTTGTAGCCCAAAAATGGCTGGAGACCCAAGTTTGGGAAATACTGCTTTAAAGAAAAAGTGGAATATTAGTGAAAAGGGGTAGGGGATTTTCCATGTAAGGTAGGAACAATTTTGTGCTGTTGTTTTTTTGAAGAAATGGGCCCTGCCCCTCGCAATCTTTATGCCCTGGCTTATTAAGGTTTGAACAGATGGAAGGCAAAACCAGAAGAACACAGAGCTTATTAAATAAGAGGAAATTGGCTGTATTTATTATAGTAGTTGCCAGCAGGTTCAGTCATGAGTCACGGTCCCATTAAGGTTTATATTGCACACAGCAAAAAGAGAGAACTGTATCTACTTGAAAAGCCTTGTGGACTGAAATGTCCTTGTTGTGGAGGAAATGTCTCGAAGCAGAAGAAGTAAATCAAGACCAAAGAAATACAGCGCTGACAGCGAACAAGCAAAGCTAATAACTACAATCCCAAGGGAATACCGCATGTGAAAATGTTCAAAAGTATTTTTTTCTATAAAGCAGCTCCCTGAAAAGGAGGTAAGCTAGAGAGTCATAATATGCCAACATCACATTGTCTGTACGGTTCTTTTAAGGTGGTGTTGAACAGACCAAGGCAGAGGTCAGCAAACTTACTGCGCCTCGGGCCGGTGTCTCCAGCGCCGATCGCGTGGCGGGCCAGAGGGCGGAGGAGCACATGCCCATATGCATGCACACATGCTATTTCCAGCACACTTCCGGGTCGGAGGAGCACCGGAAATAGCTTGTGCGCATGGGCTTCCTCCAACCCGGATGTGCACCGGAAATAACACTTGTGCATGCGCACAAGCTATTTCCGGTGCTCCTCCGACCCAGAAGTGGGCAGCCGCACGGCACAGTGCCGGTAACAGCTGGTGGCAGGGGTCACCGCAGGCTGGATAAACGAGTCCCTCGGGCCTTACCCAGCCCACGGGCCTTAGTTTGGGGACCCCGGACCAAGGGATCCATGCTATAATTTACTCAGACCCAAGAGCTTGCAAAACAGGCTTTCTTTAAGTGGCACTAGGAAATATCAAGACATAATGAATAAAACCTTTGCTAGGGCTGCCATGTGTCTGGATTTTCCTAGACACAGCCAAGAAATGTGCTTGAAAATGATGTCCAGGCGGATTTTCGCTGACTTGGCAAAATGTCCAGGAAAACCCGGACATATGGCAAGTAGGGTGTTCCCCCCTATATATATATATATATATATATATATATATACACACACACACACACACACACACATAAAAATTCTTTTAAAATCCCAGAAAAGCAGATGTTCCCCAGGAAAGCTCAACAAGTTTTGCCTGGATTTTC